AAAAGGGCTATGAGTAACACCTGATGGGACATTTTAGACACGGGTCCTTGTGAGAGTGGGGTACAAGCAGTGCTGATTCAGAGCTGTTGCATCCAGAGGGTATCTCCCCATTTCTGTATAAAATAATATCACAGAGCACAGCCGGAGGCAGGCACAGCAGAGCAGTGACATCTTTCAGTTGATGCCACCTGCTGTCACTTGGAGGGAATATACTTTAATGAGGAAACGGAAGCAGGACTTAATCCTGAACAAATTTGAGACATATCTAGAAATGATTGGTACCACTTCTCGGGGTGGGGAAGACGGCGCTGACATCCTGTCAGTGCAAGATAATGAGTCATCAGGGTTTGGAGTACTCATGTTTATGTGACTTCTGTGTCTCCGCAGGGGACATTTGGAATTTTAAACTATGAAAAGCATGTCATAATACTATTTATTGCTAGAGCGGTTATTATAAATGGCACTTTTATGACTGTGGATCAGTAAGAATAACCAGAGTTCACATTTGATATGCCAGACCTCAGCAATCACGTGCTTATTAAATAAGGCGTTGTGCTTCTGGTTGTTATTAGAATTCAGTAACTTAATTGAACCCATGGTTGACATGGCACTTGAAGTGGTATAGATAATTTAAAAAGTGGCTTACCCATGACTAATGACTAATTAAAAAAAAATAAGGTTATAACCATTGAACAGGGGAGAGTAGGCCAAAAACTTTTTATCAGGTTATGAAAAAGACAAAAATGGATGACTTGAAGAATACAACTTGCCTTATAAGTAACTTGAGGTTTGCCTCTCTCTGTAATATAATGATGAGATTCATGCTTATTGAGGACTTACAAGGTGCTATGCACACTAATGCTCACAAAAATCCTCTGAAAATGTATTATTACTATCATGTACATTTTACAGATAAAATAACTGAGGCACAGAGACGGCACAACTTGTCCAAGGTCACACAGCCAGAAAACAGAAAAGCCAGGATATGAACGTGTGCTTTCGGGCTTCAGAAGCCATACTCTTAGTAACTCCACTGTATAGCTTTTCCATAAGTCCCATAAACTAAACTAAAAAACACACTAAAAAGAAAAAGAATTAACAGCATCTCACAGTAGACAACCATTTCACAAAACTGAGATCTGGAAAAAAATCAGCTCTAGAATCAGTTAATTACGATATAGTTAAAACTTGATGTCCTTTTCCTACTTTCTTTTCCTTTAACATGCAAACCAAAGATAATGATACTAGATTTAGTAGGGACTTTATTGCTTAGAATTGTATTATTAAATAACTCAAGCAAACTGTATGCATGAAAATGTAGCATTGACATAAACTTCAAAATTTTACCAACTTACAACTTCTGTCACAAATTTTTCAATACGAATGAGGCTAGTTTTGTTTCTAACTGCCCTGATAGTTCATTATAGTTTTAAAAATACGGTATTATATTCTAGATGGAATACGCTATATGCATTTTTATATGTTGTCCCAGGATAAATACAGAATTTTTTTTTATTTTTTGAGATGGAGTCTCACTCTGTCACCCAAACTAGAATGCAGTGGCGTGATCTCGGTTCACTGCAACCTCTGCCTCCTGGGTTCAAGCAATCCTCTGCCTCAGCCTCCAGAGTAGCTGGGATTACAGGTACCCACCACCATGCCCGGCTAATTTGTGTAATTTTTTAGTAGAGATGGGTTTCACCATCTTGGCCAGGCTGGTCTTCAACTCCTGAGGTCCTGATCCTCCCACCTCCGCTTCCCAAAGTGCTGGGATTACAGGCATGCACCACACCCCAGCCAATACAGAATTTAAATTAATGGATTTCCTACTTTTCAGATATTTCCTTCTTGTTCTTTTTAGAATGAAGTATATATTTCTGTTACTTACAGTGAGTAACCTAAAACTTCTGACCCAGAAGTCTGTGCTCCAAAAATGTTTGCCATGTGGATAAGCAGGGAAGGTAGTCGTTATTTCCCATTCTTTTTGGATGCTCAGTTTCTGAACCTTCTAATTTTGGGAGAATTTCTACTTCTTAGGAGTCTTGATGGGAAAGAAGCTAAAGACAGACAACAGCTTTCCCAGCCTCCCCTGACGCTGGGCTGTGGGTATATGACCCAAGTTCCACCAGTCAGAGACCTGTCCCAGGGTAGACACTGGCATAAAAAGGAGAGATTAGTAGGAATCCTTTCTGTAGGCAAAATGCAAGTTTGATGTAATTCATTATATAGGAAAGGTATTTCAAATTGTTTTTCTTGTATGGAAATACTTAAATATGAAGTCACCTGAGCATAGTCTGAACAGCCTGGGAGGCTGCTAACGAAGCTGTGCACATCATCCACGGTCCACTTCTGAATGTCTTCATCCAAAGAAAGATTTCCCCCGACTGTAAGCAGTGCATGTGTTCCTTTAAAATGGAAAGAAATTGTGGCATAAAAGACATACAGATTGATGTACAGTTACATTAATTTCCTTGTATTCTATCACCCCAGAATGGTCTCGATTTGCAAACTCCTTACAAGATATTAAGAGTTACTAGGAGGTGTTTTCTAAAAGCTTTAGCTGCTTCCTCTCTTTTCTTTCTCTGAAAAGATCTTTACTGATAGCATTTATTGTAAGTAAACAAGTTCCCGTTTGCTCCAGTTTCCTTCAGATTCCAACAGAAATGACCCATGGATTATATTCTCCAGAGTAATGTTACTATGTTTTTGTGATATGTGATTATCATACTCTCAGGATGAGACAAGAATTTAGCTACATTTTCAGCAAAATGACAAATTAATACTTTGTAGGGAAGCAGTTGGTATGGTGGCTATATTACACACCCTTCACAATCCCTGTGTCTTAAAATATTTTTATCTAAAGGAATTCTAGGAAACTATTCAGTGTGTGTTTTTGGCATGAAATGCATTAGTATTTTTAGATTTGAATGTGTCAACGGTATTGGACCCTGAAAGGTAATACTTTTGCTTAATTTTCTGTTTTTTCCTGTACTTAAATACTGGGGAGATAGAATTCATACTTTTAACCAAGAAGCCTCTCTGCTTTGTGTTAAAGAAATAAACACTAAATTACATTAAAATTGTAAATAAAAATTCTGTTATGTTTCCCCAGATATTTACCTTCCCAGCCTTTGTTGAAAATTCTCTATATAGCAAAATATAAACAGAGGCTACTTTCAGTGATATGGCTTATTAGAACTGATGGAATAAAGCGATGCTAAGAAAAGGTAATTCCAAGCAGGACTAAGATGAAAAGGGGCAGGATGGTTACAGTTTATTATGTCGTAACCTCCAGACATGGCAACCCGTAGTTAATGAGGATCTGCCATTGGCCCCTGCACACCTACCTGGCAGAGATGGTCGAGGAAGTGGAGGACAAACCCCATTCTTTTCATCACAGTCTGCAAAAGTCTGCTCTGAAGCCTCCTCTTTCCCGCTCTCCCAGGCCTTTGCTTTCAAGGTAGCGATGTGAGATCCCCAGGGTTTCCTATGAGTGGGCTCGAGCTCTCCACAGGTGTTGGCAAGAGCTGGAGTTGGCTTTTCATTCGTTTCACTTGACTTCTGGTTGTTGGGTGCTTCAATTTCTGGGTCTTTTGCATAATGATCCTCTTGATAGGGAATTGCAGGAGTCTGGGCTAGGATTTTTTCTTCTGCTTGACTTTTGGAATTCTCAGCATCGCTGTCTAGAACTTTTTGATTCCCTGTATTTTTCCTGAGTCGACGACATCTCTGCCCCCAGCTCTCCTCAAAGTGTGGTGCAGTAGCCACTAGCATGGGGTTTCCCTGAAGGTTTCTGAGGGTGCTTCTGTGAAAATGCAGGTCACTGGCAGGGAGCATGCTCCTGCCATGGTAGGCAGCGGGACCAGCTGGGACACCGGAGCCATAGAGGAATGGTATCCCTAGGCCTGCTAGTCCCTTAGGATTAATTTTTTCCATTCTCCTTTGCTGGTAAATAGCATACATTTCCATTTCTGCCCTGAAAACAAAACAGTATATTTTATACGGCCCATGAAAACCATTATAAATGTAATTTTAATAGCCCCTTGCCTTCCCTAAAATAGTCCTCACACTGTTTATCTGAAGTTTGTTTGGTGGAAACATGAATCCCCCGCAAAGCCAGCGAGAAGGGGAGTTTTGAGTAAGATCTGAAGATTTGTCTGAGTTTCACAACGGAAGTCCAAAGGCCAGTCTTTAGAGTCTCTAAATAGACGGGCAAATTTAGCAGGGATGGGGCTTATGCAGCACAGGTGGTTCCTTGCCAGAGATAAATCCGCAAAAAACTTAAAGTACTGTACTGGGAAGAGGTTTTCAAACCCTGCAAAATAATCTTAGTGAGACTCAAGAAAGACTGGTAGACAATGCAAGTCTCAATATTTGTAAATCAATGCAGTGGCTGGGGAAGAGGTGAGGGGAAGACTTGGTGGTTTGGCTTACTTCACTTTGCTTAGTGGTCCTCAGCTGGACCCCTTTGGGTTCAGTGATGAGAAAGTTGCCTCTCTGCCTTCTCTTACCCTGGGGCCACACCCTATTCATTGTTAGACTTTTCTCTCTCCTTCACTGTAGCTGAAGGCCACTGTTGGGCTGACATGGGGTTGTCTGAGCTCTGATGGCGTAATCTGAAGTTGGGCTGGCAAACTTGGCTCCTATCTTTGCGCGAAATTTTAGTCATTTAAGACAGCAATGCCAATATGAACTTCAGAGGAATCGTAGGCATTTCAATTATGGGACACTGATGGCCTATTGCAATCTGTGTACTAATACTACTGTTAGCTTCACCTGTGGGATTTCTAATCTTGCTTTTATCCTTAACCAACCTGCATATGTGTTTGTATTTACTTCTTTTTCTTTCTTTTTGTAAGTGAAAGCGAGTTTATGAAGAAGATAAAGGAATAGAGAATGGCTACTTCATTGGCAGAGCAGACTATGTTTCTTTTTGTAATCTGCCTGAAATACTTTCTCTAAGTAATTTGTGCGTGTATGTATGTGTATTTATTTGTTATATACACATCTATTCATTTGTTATATGAATATAATAAGTTAATAAATGAGCAAGTGAATGAATAGAAAATAAATAAAACAACGATTGCCAAATTACCTGGCAGTATGATGCCTTTGAATCATTTCATTCCTTCTGGCCACTGCCTTTATGGATTCAGGTGGTAAAATACCCCAACCTTAAAAAAGAAAACCACCATCCCACCCCAAAAATAAATTAAAAACATGCATTTGAAACATAACGATGTAAAACAGTATCTGCAAAAACAAAAACAAACCAGCAGCTGTGCAGTTTTGGAAATGGTATCAGATCATAGCTGTTTAGTGTCTTAGAGTCACGTTGGTGATAGCATGATAAATACCAGATAGCTTTTTGTTCTTTAATTGTTGGTCTCATGACCGGTGACATTTTCCTGTCTTACATTAAAAGAAAAAAGATGAAGTGATTTGTGACTCTCTTGATTATTGCCTTTTTTGGTCTTTTAAAAGTATATTTTTGGGGGGTACAACGTGATGTTTTGATATATGTATACATTGTGGAATGATTAACTTGAGCTAAGCATTTCACCTCACGTATTTAACACTTTTTGAGGTCAGAAGATTTACAATTTACTCCTTTTTTGAGACAGGGTCTTGCTCTGCCATCCAGGCTGAAGTGTAGTGGCACAATCTCAGCTCGCTGAACCTCCGACTCCCGGGTTCAAGCGATTCTCCTGCCTCAGCCTCCCAAATAGCTGGGATTACAGGCGCCTGCCACCATGCCCAGCTAATTTTTGTATTTTTAGTAGAGATGGGGTTTCACCATGTTGGCCAGGCTGGTCTCAAACTCTTGACCTCAGGTGATCTGCCCACCTTGGCCTCCCAAAGTGCTGGGATTACAAGCGTGAGCCACCATGCCCAGCCACAATCTACTATCTTAGCAATTTTCAAGTATACAATACATTGTTATTAATTGTAGCCACCATGCTATACAATTGATCTCTAGAACTTATTCCTCGGAGTCTAAAACTTGGTACCTTTTGACCAACATCTCCCCAGTCCCCCCCGCATTGATCTCTTGCTTTTGAAGTAAAATTGATATAATTGTTCTATTTTTTTGTACAGAAGGAATTAGTCAACTTTTCTTTTTCCTTTTTGAGATGGAGTCTTGCTCTGTCGCTCAGGCTGGAATACAGTGACGTGATCTCGGCTCACTACAGTCTCTGCCTTCTGGGTTCAAGCAATTCTCCTGCCTCAGCCTCCTGAGTAGCTGGGTTTACAGGCATGTGCCACCATGTCCAGCTAATATTTATATTTTTAGTAGAGATGGGGTTTCACCATGTTGGTCAGGTTGGTCTTGAACTCCTGACCTCGTGATCTTCCTGCCTCAGCCTCCCAAAGTGCAACCTTTTCTTAAAAAGTGTTTCTTGGTATACTAAAAGCCCAGGAAATTCAATGAGGATTTAAGTTATTTAAAGTTCTCTATGTAGATAAAAATTTATGTGCCCAGGCTTGAGATACTCTCTTTTAGACAGCTGGTATACATGAAGCTACCAATTCATGGGACACTGCCCATGGAAACAGAGAAAGTCTATACGAGAAGTTCAGTCTAGAGAGCACAATACTAACTGCCTGGATTTTTAGAACCCTCTGAGGTCTGGTGTCATGAAACCTCCTATACTTTCTCTTTTCCAAATAGGCAACATCAAACTTAATGTTAGTTCAGTTGTATAATTCACTGCTACTTAACATCCCTGTTTTGTTTGTTTGTTTCCTTTGAGATGGAGTTTGGCTCTTGTTGCCTAGGCTGGAGTGCAGTGGCACGATCTTGGCTCACGGAGACCTCCACCTCCCAGGTTCAAGCAATTCTCCTGTCTCAGCCTCCAGAGTAGCTGGGATTATAGGCATGCGTCATCACACCCAGTGGTGACTGCCTGTATTTTTTTTTTTTTTTTTTTTTTTAAGAGACAGGGTTTCTCCATGTTGGTCAGGCTGCTCTTGAACTCCTGACCTGAGATGATCTGCCTGTCTCGGGCTCCCAAAGTGCTGGGATTACAGGTGTGAGCCACCGCGCCCAGCCCTACATCCCTGTTGTTTTTTTTTTTTTGAGACGGAGTTTCGCTCTTGTTACCCAGGCTGGAGTGCAATGGCACGATCTCCGCTCACCGCAACCTCTGTCTCCTGGGTTCAAGCAATTCTCCTGCCTCAGCCTCCCGAGTAGCTGGGACTACAGGTGTGCGCCACCATGCCCAGCTAATTTTTGTATTTTTAGTAGAGACAGAGTTTCACCATGTTGACCAGGATGGTCTGGATATCTTGACCTCGTGATCCATCCACCTCGGCCTCCCAAAGTGCTGGGATGAGCCACCGCGCCCTGCCTACATCCCTGTTTTTTAAACAGAGCCCTGTCTTAGCTTCTATTTTGCCAACTTACCTAGTAGCTCAGTTTTTGCAGGACTGAGGCCTTATCTTGCCCTTGCTCTCTCTTACACTTCAGCCTTGAGGTGAGAGACCTGACCTATGTCCCTAGAGAAAGGTGGTCGACCTGTTTGCTTTTATATCCAAATATGTATTGGCAATTTCTGGGTTCTTTATCAAGAAGAGTCAGCAGTGCAGCTGTTTTACTAGTCTATTGGCCTGTTGTCTGTAATCTGGCTACAGCTTACTGGGCTATTGCTGCCAGGTGGCCTCCATTCAGGATCTGCTGTTGGGCTGTCTCCTTCGGTCCTTGAACCAGTTTACCAGGTGGGTCCAGTTTCAGATCCAGCCCTTGCTTGAATGCTTGCTCTCATTGCAGTTAAATGGATTCGTGACCTGAGGTAGACAGCATGCTCAAATCCAGGCAGGCCAGCCTCTTCACTGACCCAGGTGTGAATCCTATTTCTTTTTGTGTTAGGCTTTTCCTTCACATTGTTCTCATCTGTTATGAGTTGTTGGAATTGCGGAGCAGGGATAAGCAGAAACTTACGAATATGGTTTTTTGGGGAGAGAAGATACACCAGTTTGAGCTTCAGTGTTGTGGGGAAATTCTCACCTTGTCTCTCCTGAGCTCTCACAAGTCATGTTTTCATCATCATGACTCTTTGCTTGTATCAGAGTCACTGATGGCCTCTGCATAACGCTAAATCTAATGACATATTCTCAGTTTTCATCTTACTTGCTCTTCAAATGGCACACTTGACACAGCTGCTCATTCTTTAAAATAGTGCATTGTAAAATGATTGTAAATCTTATAACCACAAAAAGTGATAAATAAGGCCAGGTGTGGTGGCCCACGTCTGTAATCCCAGCACTTTGGGAGGCCAACGTGGGGGGATCACTTGAGGTCAGAAGTTCCAGACCAGCCTGGCCAACATGGTGAAACCCGATCTCTACTAATAATACAAAAATTAGCTGGGCATGGTGGTGCACGCCTGCAGTCCCGGCTACTTGGGAGGCTGAGGCAGGAGAATCGCTTGAACCCAGGAGGCGGAGGTTGCAGTAAGTCGAAATCATGCTATTGCACTCCAGCCTGGGTGACAAGAGCAAAACTCCATCTCGAACAAACAACAGCAACAAAAGTGATAAATATGTGAGGTGAGGCATATGGTGATTCGCTTGATTTAATCATTCCACACTTTCTTCCCATGGCCTCCAGGCCAGCATGCATTCCTGGGTTTCTTCCTACCCCACTGGTTCCCCTCACTTGTTTTACTTCTCCCTTGCTTGCTCTTCCTCGTCCTCTGGACTCTGTTAGTGGGTCAGTCTCAGGGATGCTCCTTTTAACTCTTCTATCTACACTCTCTCCGTAGGTGATCTGATCTAGCCTAATATATGCTGATCACTTCCAAAATTATACCCCAAGTTGTCCTGAGAAGCTCTCCCTGCATTCAGCTGCCTTCATGACCTGTCTGCTTGGGTGTCTATTAGGCATCTGAGATGTCATATGAGTAAGCTGAACCCCTGATATGTCTCCCTCCCCAACAACCCTGTTCCTTTCACAATCTTCCTCAACTCAATGAGTAGCAACTCCATCTTTCCAACTATTCACACCAAAATTGTTGATGTCATTCTTAGTATCTCTTTCTTCCACCTTCCACATACATGCTGTGAGAAAATTTCATTGTTTCCACAATCAAACTAATTACAGAATTTAACCACTTCTTATTATTCCTGCTGTCATCACCCATGACAAAGTTGTCATAATTTTTTAGCCATTCTAATAGCCCACTAATTCCCATCAGTTTATTCCCAGAACTTTGATCCCATCAGGTTTGTCCCCATCTCAGCAGCCAGAATTATTCTGGTAACATTTAAGTCAGACCATGTTGCTCTTTTGCTCAAACTCCTTGAAGGGTTCCCCTTTTATTCAGAATAAAAGCCAAATTTTCACTATCACCATCAGGCCCATGTAAACTGCCTTAAGCCCCATTAATTCTCAGATCTAATCTCCTCATAACTTTATCAGTTCGTCATGTGTAAGATAAGACAAATAGTAATACTGCAGTTCTTCATGTTATTCCTGAATAAGTTGATGCTTGGAGGAGTTAGGCAGCTTACACTGGGTCACACAGTGGTAGCACCATGATCTGAAACTAGGTGGTGGCTACAGAGACTACAGACACCACCACACGGTCCTGCCTCCCATGTTTAGGAGTAAAATGATGGCAAGTTTAATGCGTCCATCCACTTCAAAATGACTCCACAGATGACAGCCAAACTTCTATTGCTCATACCTGGGTAGATCCGATTGGACAACACATTTGGCATACTTGTGTTTGGTAGAACGGAGGATCCAAATTGGGAAGGAACACAAAACTGTCTTGGATCAGTTGGAGCTACAGTGGAAGGCAATACATCTCTAGGAACAGAAAGATATAAAGTAAAATAGGTAAAATGAGATTGGAGGACAAAATTTCCATGGCTGAGTCAGTGAGATTTTTTTTATTGCCACGTGGGATTCTATCATCTCTTCCCAAAGTGAAATACAAAAGTCCTGGAGTCTTTAGGAGTTTACGGAGAAATACGGTAGAAAGATTGGGAAGAACTCTGCTACTGAAGGACTGATCCAGCTGACAACAAAACAGAGGAAGCAGGATAGGAAAGTTTTAGGGATGTCTGGAAAAAAAGACTTAAACAAATCAATACTGCTCTCTGATTTTTCATGACCAACAGTCTACTCTGACCACAAATTCTTTCCTCATTTAATGGGCATGCTTTGGTTGGGTTTGCCATTTGGGATCAATGTTTGAGTACCTGGGTGGACAACTTGTTCTGCTGAACATTAGTGGTCTCTAGACATTCCACTTTATTGTTCACAGTCCATAAACAAGAATAAATAATGAGGCTGGGTGCGGTGGCTCATGCCTGTAATCCTAGCACTTTGGGAGGCTGAGGTGGCCAGATCATGAGGTCCAGGAGTTCGAGACCAGCCTGGCCAGCATGGTGAAACCCCATGTCTACTAAAAACACAAAAAATTAGCTGGGCATGGTGGTGCATGCCAGTAATCCCAGCTACTCGGGAGGCTGGGGTAGGAGAATCACTTGAACCCAGGAGGTGGAGGTTGCAGTGAGCTGAGGTTGCACCACTGCACTCCAGCCTGGTGACAGAGTGAGACTCTGCCTCAAAATAAATAAATAAATAGTTCTATTTTCTCTCCTGAATGTCAAAATATTAAAAAAAAAAAACCCAAGGGAAGGTAGGTTACTTCCAGAGTGTGCAACCCAAATACCTATAATTTACCTTTTATTGGAAAGAAAGAATTGTTTCTTCACAGGAAATCTAGGGTACCCAGTTGTTATGGACTTCTTTCCCCTCCCCCTCCAAAAAAAAATTAGCACATGAAGCCTTAACCACCAATGTGACTGTAGTTGGAGACAGGGCCTTTAAGGAGGTAATTTTGATTAAATGATATGATAAAGGTGGAACCATAATCTGATAGGACTGGTATCCTTTTAAGAACAAGAGATACCAGGGATCCTTTTCTACAAATGCGCACTGGGAAGGGCCATGTGAGGATACAGTGAGCAGGTGTCTGCCTATAAGCCAGAGAGACCTCACCAGAAACCAACCCTGCAGCACCTTGATCTTGGACTCTCAGCTCCAGAACCAAGAAATAAAGTTCTGTTGTGTAAGCCATCCAGCCTGTAGTATTTTATTATGGCAGCCTAAGAAGACTAATACTCCAATGTTTGTCCCTGCACAATGCCTGTCACATAGTGAGTGCTCATTGGTTATTTGCTGAGTGAATAGGTCAAGCGGGCCTCAGAGGAGAAACGACAGCAAATGTCCTGAGAGTAAGGTCAGCAGGGTATCTTGACTTGAATTACTGCACCACAGTTCACCGAAATAACATTAGACAATAAAACAACACTGGAGTTAACATCATTCCAAAACTTAATGACTGTCCATGTCGTTCTTTGATCAAACAATTACATTGGGGAGAAATACCTGTCCACAGTTGGAGGCCCAAACGGTGAGGGAATCAGCGGGATCGTCTGCTGGCCTGATGGTGTCAATAAAGGGTTCACAGCCATCACTGGGTTTGTCATCAGTATCTCTCGCCACTGATGGAGATCTGAAAAGAGCCAGATAGACACTTCAACAAATAACTCTACTTTTTGTGAAATATTTGAATTCTTCTTGAACACAATAAAAGCCCTTTGTATTTTCATAACACTTGGGAAGACTAGTTACACCAAGCTTTTAGTTATACAAAAACCCCAGATATAATTGTAGAACTCAGTGTTTTATCAGTATGCCCTTGGAATTTGTTGCAGAGTTCACCGTATTACCATACCAAACTACAAGCAATAATAAAATTAAACCAGCCTTGCAAGATTCCAGAAATACCAACTTTCTTTTTTTAGATGGAGTTTCACTTTTTGCCCAGGCTGGAGTGCAATGGCACGATCTCAGTTCACTGCAACCTCTGCCTCCTGGGTTCAAGTGATTCTCCTGCCTCAGCCTCCTAAGTAGCTGGGATTACAGGCATGCACCACCACGCCTGGCTAATTTTGTATTTTTAGTAGAGACAGGGTTTCTCCATGTTGGTCAGGCTGGTCTTGAACTCCCGGACTCCGGTGAACCACCTGCCTTGGGCTCCCAAAGTGCTGGGATTACAGGCATGAGCCACCGTGCCCGGCAATTTATTGTACATTTAAAAATAACTGATTATAGGGCCGGGCACGCAGGCTCACACCTGTAATCCCAGCACTTTGGGAGGCTAAGGCGGCCAGATAATTTGAGGTCAGGAGTTCAAGACCAGCCTGGCAAACATGGTGAGACCCTGTCTCTACTAAAAATGCAAAAATTAGCCGGGCATGGTGGCACACACCTGTAATCCCAGCTACTCCGGAGGCTGAGGCAGGAGAATTCCTTGAACCTGGGAGGCGGAGGTTGCAGTGAGCCAAGATCATGCCACTACACTCCAGCCTGGGTGACAGAGCAAGACTCCATCTCAAAAATAAATAAATAAAAAATAACTTAGTTGGATTGTTTGTAACACAAAGAAATGACAAATACTTGAGGTAAATATGCCATTTACCCTAATGTGATTATTATTCATTGTTTTCCTGTATCAAAATATCTCATGTGCCCCCCATAAATATATATGCCTGTGTACCCATAAAAATAAAAAATAAAAAAATAATTGGGTTTTCTTTTCTTTTCTCTTTTTTTGGGACAGAGTCTCACTCTGTTGCCCAGGCTGGGAGTGCAGTGGCATGATCTCGGTTCACTGCAACCTCTGCCTCCCGGATTCAAGCAATTCTTCTGCCTCAGCCTCCTGGGTAGCTGGGATTACAGGCAGGTGCCACCATGCCTGTCTAATTTTTGTATTTTTAGTAGAGACGGGGTTTCACCATATTGGCAAGGCTGGTCTCAAACTCCTGACCTCAGATAATCCACCTGCCTCAGCCTCGCAAAGTGCTGGGATTACAGGTGTGAGCCACCGCACCCAGCATTTTTTTTTTTTTTTTTTTTTTTTTTTTGAGACGTAGTCTCGCTCTATCACCTAGGTTGGAGTGCAGTGGTACGCAACCTCCACCTCCCAGGTTCCAGCAATTTTCCTGCTTTAGCCTCCTGAGTAACTGTGACTACAGGCGCATGCCACCATGCCCAGCTAATTTTTTGTATTTTCAGTAGAGATGGGGTTTCACCATGTTAGCCAGGAGGGTCTGGATCTCCTGACCTCGTGATCCACCCACTTCGGCCTCCCAAAGTGCTGGGTTTACAGGCATGAGCCACTCACTCAGCCTCTTATTGTTTTTAAAAATCTGAGATACCTGCAACTATGTTTGAAGAAAAAGATATTAGGAAGGAAATGTTCTGTTTTTCAAAGTAGTAACCTTTCTTTTCTTGTGTTCAATTTAATCTTTAAAAGTTATTTCATTCACATGGTTCAAATACTAAAAATATGATGAAATTTAAATATACAATCATTTTATTAGCTTATTTTTCAGACCTAGCCCCACTGATCAAATTGGAAATCCAAATCCATGGGCCACCTCACATTGGCTTTTGCCATTCATATACACGTTAAAGTTCTTTATCTCTATTTATTGTCACTGTTTTTCTGTGAGGTCAGTAGACTTTCTTCTCTGATAGCGGCCTCAGAGAGTTTAGTAACCATGACACAGTCAGGATTAGAATAAAAATCTCTGTCAGGTGTCTGTAAGCCATGGCGTATGCTAACAGAGAACCCTGGCTGGGTCGGAGGTGGGCTGGCACATAACTCTGGCGAGGATGCTGCTCTGCAGCTGGAAATCTCAGGTGCTCCCCAAGGGGTTTGGTGCACAGCTGCCTTCTTCCTCTAGAGAGACCATTTACAACAGAACAATGGGGGACATCACTTGAAGTTTCGTTTTGAAAAACTGTTAAACTTTGATTTGTGTCATGAATTGATGGTCTCTAGCAGAAGTCTGAACTTACTCATGAGTGAGATCGAATTATGTTATAGCCTCTATTTTGTTTTTTGTTTTGTTTTGTTTTTTGAACCGGAGTCTCTCTCTCGCCCAAGCTGGAGTGCAATGGCGCAATCTTAGCCCACTGCAACATCCCCCTCTGGGGTTCAAGCAATTCTCCTGCCTCAGCCTCCCAAGTAGCTGGGATTACAGGTGTGCACCACCACACCCAGCTACTTTTTTTTGTATTTTTAGTAGAAACAAGGTTTCTCTATGTTGACCAGGCTGGGCTCAAACTCCTGACCTCTGGTGATTCACCCACTTTGGCCTCCCAAAGTGCTGGGATTACAGGTGTGAGCCACTGTGCCCAGCCTATAGGCTCTGTTTTGTGCAGCAGATATCTAGAACTTATTTGTTCAGCGTAAAAGAAACTTTACCCCCTGGACAATGGTTTTCCATGTCTATCACCCCCAGCCTCTGGCAACCACTGTTAGATTTTCTGCTTCTATGAGTTTGACTATTTTAGACACCTCAGAGAAGTAGAATCACACAGTATTTGTCCTGCTGTGATGGGCACTTTTTCACTTGGCATAATGTCCTCCAGGTTCATCCATTGTGCATGTCAAAATGTATTAAGAAGCTAAATTTCATGTTAAGTATTCTTACCACAAAATAAAACCAAAGGGACACAAGAAAACTTTAGGAAGTGTTGGCTCTGTCTGTTGCCTTAAGCGATGGCTTCACGGATTACGCATATGTCTAAACTCATTAAATTGTACACATTAAATATGTGTAATTCTTTTATGTCAAATTTTCCTCAGTAAGGCTATTTTTAAAAATATAGGGCTCAGGCTGGGCACAGTGGCTCACACCTGTAATCCCAGCATTTTGGGAGGCCAAGGTGGGAGGATCACCTGAGGTCAGGAGTTCAAGACCAGCCTGGCCAACATGGTGAAGCCCCATCTCTACTAAAAATAGAAAAATTAGCCAGGTGTGGTACCCGTAGTCCCAGCTACTCAGGAGACTGAGGCAGAAGAATCACTTGAACGCAGGAGGTGGAGGCTGCAGTGAGCCAAGATCGCGTCACTGCACTCCAGCCTGGTGACAGAGGGAGACTCTGTCTCAAAAAAAAAAAAAAATATATATATATATATATATATGTGTGTGTGTGTGTGTGTGTGTGTGTATGTGTACATATAGTACTCGTATATATGTGTGTGTGTGTACATATAGTATGTGTATATACGTGTGTGTGTATATATATATGGCTCAGCTTGTATCCTATGTGATGTCTGAGACAAGTAAGAAGGAAGGAGAAGGAAAAAGAAAGAGAGGAGCAAGAATTTCTTGGAGGCTGACCACCTGTCTTCCTCATACATGTCACCTTTTGAAAAAGCCATGGAGATGAGTCACCAAAAGCAGATAAGATTCTTACTTTGGAATTCCCTAAGCAGGACCTAAGACAAGAACTTAAGTACAATGGCTTATTTGGGAGGCAATCCCAGGAAGCTCATGTGAGACAGTAGGGAAGCAAGACCAGGAAGGGAAAAGCCAATGAAGGGTGAGTGAATTGATGTGCGGGTTTTCACTGTGGGCAACTGGTGCTCAATCCTGCTGGGAACCCTTTATGAAACCTATGGTAGAATATCTCAGAATTGTCCTCATGAAGGAAAAAGAGCTGACCCATCAACTTCTGCGGGCCATTGGTTGAAGGCACAGTTCTCCTTTGCACCTAGGGTATGCTTGAGCTAGACACAATAAGCTCCTGCGGTGCAGAAGAAAACCATCAGACTGAGAAACAGAGAGAGAGAGAGAGATGCAGGTGCTTGAGATGGGAAATGACTTTCATGGTTGCGGGTATACTCAGAAGGAGGCCAGGAAGATGTAAGGTAGGGCAGCAACACTGACTAGTGCTATTGAGGCAATGTGACAGCCTTCCAATGTCATTCCACTAGACAACTGGCACAGGTGCCTTTCTTCTGAAATACCAGGTTTGCCAGGCTTAGACATATCTATATGAGGCTCTGTAGGGTCTACTGTCTGCAACAAAACAGCAGGATTTTTTTTTTTTTTTTTTTTTTACCATTAGTCACAAGTTATGTGAAATAAGTGGGAGAACTCAGTGCTATCTGGCCAACGGGAAAGGACAAGTCTTATCTAATGTACCATTAAAACTATCCTTGGTACTACACCTGTTCTTGATTCCATGGTTCTTGGGTCTGGCTTGCTTTGTTTTTACAATGCCAGGGAGGTGGTTCATTGTTTTTGAATCAATCCACCAAATTTTAATCCAAAATGCAAGCTAGTCCGAGTGCCTGCAGAAATGTCCACGTGTCATGGAAGCCCCTGGGCAGGACAATGAGCCATTGGCATCTGCAGCACCTGTGTGTTACACTTTTGGGCTCCACTTGGCTTCCCTAGTTTCTTTTAATCCTTGCATTTATGACCTAGTACTTACTCATTTATCTTTATCATATCGATTGATGCCCAAATATTCTTTAAAGAAAAGGATTGCTGGCCGGGCGCAGTGGCTCACGCCTGTAAACCCAACACTTTGGGTGGCCGAGGTAGGCGGATCACAAGGTCAGAAGTTCGAGACCAGCCTGACCAATATGGTGAAACCCCATCTCTGCTAAAAATACAAAAATTAGCAGGGCGTGGTGGTGCGTGCTGTGGTCTCAGCTACTTGGGAAGCTGAGGCAGAAGAATTGCTTGAACCCGGGAGGCGGAGGCTGCAGTGAGCCAAGATCATGCCACTGCACTCCAGCCTGGGTGAAGAACAAGACTCCATTTCAAAAAACAAACAAAAAACAGATTTGTTTATCATGCACATACCTCAAATTACATATGTTTAACTTTTATTTTTCAGAGAAGTTTTAGGTTCACAGCAAAATGGAGTAGACAGTACAGAGTTTTCATATCTTCCCCCAACACATACATGCACAGCTTCCCCACTGCCAGCACCCTGCATCAGAGTGTACACTTGTTACAATCAGTTAAGCTACACTGACACCTCATTGCCACCCACAATTCATAGTTTACATGTGGATTCACTCCTGGTGTTGTACATTCTATGATTCTGACAAATGTAGAATGGCACTTGTCCACCAATATACAGTATAGTATAGTATAGTATAGTATAGTATA